ATTTTTAGAAACATTTTGATTCTTAGGCTTTTGAATTTGATTAACCGACTTGCATTATATATTCTTCATTAATCATTAATAATATTCTTCAGTATTCGTATCATCTCATAACTTCAAAAACTTTACTAAATTTTGTAATGCAATTGAGTATATGAAATATTATTTAAAATTTATATTATAATTAATACATATATTTAGGCTATTCAAAATTTACAAATTTAAATGAAAAATATCAAATTCTAGTATTTGAAGGAGAAACAAACCAAAAAGAAAAAAAAATATGTTGTTTTTAAGTAAAAATTGTCGCGGTAAACCGCCTAGGTTAAAATACTGAAATTTCAGTCATATATATGCATTCACAGTCATATACACACATATACATATAAAAAATTTTTTTAAGTGTGCATGTACTTGATAGTATACGATATCCAACCAATAACTATGCTGGAAAAAAAAACAACTTTTTATATTTGTATATGTTAAAATTATAATTACATTCTAATTAAATATAATTAAATTAATTTCTAAAAATATATTTACTTTTAAACATTACTTTTAGTATAAAATTACATCACTATCTATAAGTATACCTTGAAAATTCTCTCAAATATAATTTTAATATAGATGTATTAAAAATTATATTCTCACTGATTGAGAATAAATATAAATATGCATATGTAAGATGTTTTTGAAAATATGAAATAATTTTAGTAGTAATAAATAGTAAAATTTTAATAAACAATCAAATGTTTACAAATTTTGAATAAACTCGGCTTTTTTATCAACAATTTTGTAAATAAACGGTAAATGTATTTCTGCGGATGGAATTCTAGAATTTTACATATATTTTTTTTTTTACATTCCTATAATTCGAAAAAAAATCTTCAATCAACTATTTTACAACTGGTTTGAGCACATTATTTTTGCGCTTACGTTATTAGATTTTAAAAGTACCTATAAGGCTATAATGACCATAAAATTGAATTAATTGATATAAAAGACTGCATGTAACGAGTGACGATTTCAAATACAAAACAATAATTATTTTCAATATATAAAGGCGCCACATTTTAAATTATTAACAAAGCTTTAATCGATTCCTATATTCAAATTAATTCTTTTAAGTCTAACAATTTCATAAATTTTATAATATATTACTTATATGAATAAATAATAATAAAATAATAACAGAAAATTAAATTAAAACTTTATTATAAATATATATATGCATATATGTATACATATATAACTATATTTTAATTGATTTGTATTAAATAGAAAATTTTTTGTAATATAAAAAAAAATACAAACAAAGATTAATTTTATTAATTTCCATTGTTATTCAATATGAACTTTTTAATCTTTTAATATGAACTTTTAATGCAATTATTATTTTAATATTATAAATAAATTGCGAAGTATGTATAAAGTGGTAAATATAAAACGCTCAAATAAACAGTTTTGTTTTAACTTTAAAATTTTATTCAATTAAACACTGATATATTGTCCGAATATTTTTTGCTTTTTGTAGGAAACTGAAGTTTAATTAGCTTCAAAATGATGTTTAACTTATATATAAAAATAGGCACTTTCACTTTCAATTCAAATAAGGCTTAATCGAAAGAGAGAAGAGAGAATGATTTAATCTTGACGAGTAATATTGAAAGTTCAAGTGATTCCTGACAATGGGATTTTAGTCGACTATTTACAATAATATTTTATTTTTAAATAAATGTTTAAGCCAGTTTGAACTTACGGATTTTACAAAGAGAGTCTCTGAAATGTATATACTGATAAACAACGAGATCTCAGAATTACAATGAATCATAAACGTTACACCAAATTCCTTTTAATCAAATATTGCTTTCGTTCTAATTATATCGTAAAATCAATAACTACCAAAAATATTTCAATTATAAACTTGTATATTACACCTTACCACATATAAAATTACAAAATTCAATATTTTTCAAAAAAAAAAAAAAAATAAGAAAAAATATATAAAGTAAATCCCCACTAAAATAATATATGTATCTCAAATTACCCTTATAAATAGACGATTTCAATATTAATTATTAAGCATAATTTTTTGTACATACACATAAATATGTTAATTTATGTATATGTATATTACAATAAACACATATTACGATAAGCATACAATAAACCATGATAAGTGTATATGAGTAAAGATTAAAAAAAAAAAAATAAAAACCATAAATTTCAAACTTCTCTTTCTACATGATCGTTCAGAACTATATGCACACACATTTCATAGTAAGATATTAAAATGCATTACATTATAAAAATATTTTTACCATAGATTCCCGACTACTTTGTCTAAACGAATTTTTTTGTTATTATGAAAAATGTTATGTCAAGAATATCATTTTTGAGATAAGTGTGGTAAAAAGAATTACATACTAGATTAGATAAGACTAAAAATTGAGATGAGAACATCGTATTCCTGATGAATTCCGGGTATTTATATTGATCTCCATCTTGAGAGCTTAGCACAAGAAATCACTTGAGATTTGGTTTGAATCTGAGGATTTTTTCGGGACGTTAATCGAAACGAACAAATTCATTCAGGGCGATTTCAAATTTCGGATATAGTTTTTTAGTTTTGAAATTACAAAAAGCGCTGTTGGCTTTATTGATGAATTTCTGCTTAAAACTGGCTTGTGTCTTTTGTGAATATTAATTAATTATTAAGCTTTTGAGCACACACTTATATTTTGCTATATGTATATTTCCTGTATTTCCATCTTAAATCCGAAAGGATGTCAATTAAAAGAAAAATGCGTAAATATTAAAGTTTTCATTTTAAAAAAAATTTGATCGTGTTTATTAACAGATGGTATAAAATTCATGTTCGCCCCAACGCCCACAATTAGCGAAAGGATGAAGTTTTTCATTGTTTCCTTCGTGAAAATACTTGGGGAAGAAATTTTAAATCTTTGTTAATTATTATTGGACATTAATTTAAGAAAAATTATAGAAAATATTAAATTGAAACAATCCGGAAAATTACGCACTGAAGTTACCATTCTTTTATTTTATTTCACCATTTATGTATCTAAATGCTTAGTAATGGTATACATATATTATGCTCAATTTCAGCTTTTCAGTTTTGTTACTATATACTTTTGTCATTATACAGTATCAAAACAACCACAAAAAGTAAGTTAATCTGGATTTAAAATATATGGGTATGTAAATGATATTATTCATGATTGTGTATTGAATGTGAATAACGAAATTGATAATTTTATGTCGAGAATTTTCCTGTATAAATAACACACCGATTTTTATAACCTATTCTATTCATAAATCCATTCATCCAACATCTGAGTATCAAATTATTTTTTTTTAAATTTATTCATTTTTCTTCTTACACATATTTCAATACTAAAAATGTCGATGAAGCTGTTACTGCTGTTGTTGATGAAAATGTTGATGAAATCAACAGTGAATGTTAAATTTTTAATAAATATGTTAATGTAGAACGGAAACTGTAAAAAAAAATACAAAAAAAAAATAAAGAACAACTTTATTTTTCTCTTGTGTTTTTTTCTTTTTATTTTCGTTAAAACAGCAACGTTTTATATACAAAAATTAATTTTTTCCTGAAAACAAGAGCACTGATTTGTGGCTTATTTGATTATAGGGCCGCTTTGAAATCTAAGCTCAAAGAGAATTAATTGTTCTTTATTGAATAAATTATTAAAAGGAAAATTTTTGTTAAAAAAATTTTTTCTAAACAGATGTTACTTTTTAACAAGATTTACAAAAAATTTATGAAGTAAAATTTGCTATACTTGGCAGGTTGAAATTACTATGTGGTTTCTGTTTCATTAGATTATTTTTGGTAATTCAATTTTTCGTATATACATGAGTACAAAATGAATTTATTCTATACAATGTTCGCACGTAATACTGTATCTATATGAGATAGAATGGTTTTGATTTGTATATGTATGTAAAATTTAATTCAGGATTCTCAGTAGCGAATTCATGGTTATTCATGGTTTCATTTAAGTAAGAGAATCTATATAAAAGACTGTATTTTTTTTCCCTTAGCATCAATGTGTTAAATTCTAGTATGAATGAAAACATTTGCAAAAATTTACTAGGCTTTTAAAATATTTAAGTGTATAACAGTATTAAGTCGATTTTAACAAATTTATTTAACAAATCATGCCAAGTAAACATAATGAAAATGTGAAAAAAAATATTATTTTATGAAATACTTCAAATCTAATCACGATAATATTTAGGCGACCAAATTTGACTTCTATATTTCAGAAAAGAAGCATGGGTTTTATTAACTATTGTTTTGAAAATTGAATTTATATACTCATAAACTTACTGGAAATTAAATTTTCAATAATATTAAATTATCAATAAATGAAAAGAATTTGTGCGTATAAATAAAAATTCCGTCAAGAAGAGAAGCCGGATTATTTTGTAATTCAATAACAAATCTAGGTGCGGAAAATGGTTTTATGTACATATAAATTTCAGTTAATTAAATAGTAACAACAAGTTAGGCTCACATTTTAAATTTTAATATTGCAATTTACTTTTTTCTTTATATGTTGCCTAACAAAATGTTGATGCATTTCAAAAATTTTGTTATCATTAATGTTTGTCATTTGATTCCAAAAACATTGTTCTTAATTTTTATCTTAAATAATGCTTTAGTCATAAAAATTCCCATTTATGGTTCTGTGTGCAATAATAATGATAAATTTCTTTAAAAAATAAAAAAAAAACTAGAAAAAAAACCATTTTAAATCTATTTTAAAATTTCTTTTAGAAATTATCAGAAATTCTTTTGGTTATTTTCCCTTTTCTTTAAAAGATTATTTTAAATAAAATTCATAAAATTAAATTTCGTTTCTTCTCTCCGATAAATTTCATTGTATTATTATTTAAATATAAATAAATTGTGCATAATTGTTAATTTTTTCTTTATGAGTCCATAATATACTTACATCCTCTATAACAAAAGTCCAATCCTTATCTTCTAATTCATGTGTTCTTGGATCTTTAAATAAAGTAACTGTAATTGCATGATTATCTGGTACTGGCCATGATACATGACCAATTAATGGACTCATCATATCAGGTTCCCATGCTAATGGTACTGATGCAACACGTCTTGAACGCCTTGTCCATACTACAGATAAATTTGTTGGACGCCTACAAGAAAAAAACAAACAGACAAATATTTTAAAAAATCAAAAAAATTTTCTATTTTAAAATTGTTAAAAAAAAAAAACTAAAAATTATATTTTGTATATAATTTAATTTTATATTTTAATATTTGAGTTTTTGACCCACATTTTCAAATTTATTTAATAAATAGGATCAATAAAAAATAAATAAAATTGACTATGTAAGTATATAATATTATGTTATATTTTGCTAAATTATATTTTATGTACATAAGTAAATTATGTACTTTAAATCCTTGTAAAATAAAGGTCAAAAGGAAAATTTATATGTATACAAAATTTTACAAAATCAAAAATCAAAGAAATTCATAAAACTTGCCCTAATTTTTCTTTTTTTTTTCTATATAAAGTGTGCGCACTCAAATGTATACACATGCACACATATACTAATGTATTTGTATATAAATCGAACATTAACTGAGTATGTCGAGGCAAAACTATTAAACTTTTACATGCAACAAACATTTCCTATATACCATGTTTGTACGAATCTGTTAGCCTAGAAAACATATAAACAAGGAAATGTAAACTCCTCTACAAGAAATCCGACGAAAAAAGCCAGGCTGATATGCGAGTTCAATGTTATATAAATTGATAATGAAGATCAAAAAATTAATTAAATCGATTTTATTTAGAGAAAACTTCATTGGATGCTTCATACTGTATAGGGTGAACATGATCATAAAAATTTTGCATTGGATTTTAATTATGCGAACATTTATTTTTGGAGGTACGTGAAATTTTTTCATTAAGTAGATTGATTTTATTAAATCACCCGATTACAGTTATGATGAACAATTTTAAAAGTATAATTGTCAGTACTCCGGCTGAAAACGGGACGGGCTCATAATTGAACCGTTCAGAGTAATTTGTTTCAAAAAATAAATTATAACAGTTAATTTACAGTATAATTGCATACGAATTTTTAATTCGTTCTTTAAGTTTAAATTTTTTTTTTCGTAAATAGCTTAAAATATTTATGTCCAAGTTTTTATTTACAAAATTACATGAGTTTTTAATTACAAAAAAAAAAGCATTTCTGAAACCATTATGAAAATAACGCCTTAAGTTATGCAACAATTTTTTATTACCTCAAATATCATTGTTTTTACAAAAGTTTCAGAGCACATTTATAAAGATGTTTAATTGTTGATACAGAGCAGTTTTGTGATTTCTCTTCGAAAGTGATTTAAATTTTTATTTAAAGATTGTTAAAAGGACACTTATTTGAATTTTCTTTGAAAAGTTAAACATTGTGATTGCATACATAGGTTATCTAGCTTTATAAATACATGAGAATTACCAACAAAATATGCATACAAAAAAAAAATTACCGCACTAAAGGTATAATTACAATTAAAAATAACAAAAATTAGCAATGTATGTGAAAAGGATGTTTTTTTCTAAAAAATTAGGTCAAAAGCGCATTCACGTTGTTCTGCTCTACATTTTTTTAATTTATATATGTATACGAGTACACGAGTGCAGAATCCTTATTTTTTCATATTTTTTTTTTTGTTATTTCGAATCCATAATAAATTTTTCTTATATATAATTTTTCTCTATCTCATTCACTCCTATTTTTGAAAAGGATTCAATGAAAATTATTTTATTTTTCATATTAAATCACATGGCAAGCACATACATACATGAATTAAATCTATATAATTTATTGAAAAAAAAAATAATTTTTTGTGAATTTTTTAACAAATATTTTTGAATTGATCGAAAAATTGAACATCTTGCACGAAAAAAAAATCTAATAATAATAAAATTAATAATTTGTCAAATATTTCTTATATAATAAAAATTTGTTAAATTAGATTTGAAAAAGGAGGTTTATGTATACAAGGGTGCTGTGCATGTTTATAAAGAAAAATTTTTGAAAAAGGACACAATCAAGTTTCTCTGTTCGTGTTATATTATTATGCATGCAATATCACATTTTTATTCTATTCAAGGATGAAACCTTAATATAAAAAAAAACCTTACAAGAATTTTGAAATTTTTTATATAAATAAAAATTCAACTATTTGTATATATGTGTTATATGTATGACAATTTCATTAAAATTTGTTGTTATAACTGTACAAGTTAGTGTACATAGGTATATTTTGTCCTCATAATAATGAAGAAGAAAGTTATGAAACTGGATCAGTTTTTTTATTTGAACAGTGGTTGGTTAGAATTTTTATCATCATTTTGAACTATAACATGTGAATTATTATTACTTAATGCGTAATTTTTATAAAATAAAATATAGAGGGCAAAAAAATATTAATATTACATGGTAAAGGAAAATTTTTTAAAAATTCATACCGTAACAAACCACGTACACTTTACCTCTTTTTAGTTACACGCCTATGTTAATATTTTTATGCTACTGCGTTGATGAAAATTTTAGAAAACAAAAAAGTGTAATTTTAAAATTATCGCTTACTTGACTTTTTTAATGTAATTTGAGTAAAATAATCAGCATGTTAACAAACAAAAATCTAATATAAATACATTTCAGTGATGTTTTCAACTAATAATATGTGTAATGTGCCTTGTGATTATGTTTCATATATTTAGGGATAGGAGATGGGAAATGTTAAACCTTTAAAGAAAAAACTTATTACATTTCCTATATGTGATGCATTTGGTTGAATTCAAGAATGTACTGTTAGAATAAATTTAAAATTTATAGTGTTAGAAATTATACAGGGGGGACAAAACAATGCCTAAAAAAATTTTCTTGTGCTCTGTGGTGCAATAGTTAGCATATTTTTTTAAATTTAATTAAAAATTTAGTAGTAAATGCCAAAGCAGAATCAAATTTAAAAATAAGATTATTGTTATATCGGATTCAAGATTTTCAAAACCAATTTCGTTATGAAATTTCTTTTAAAAAAAATTAAAGGAATTCGCCGATTTATTCAATAAAAATTGACATAAGTATGAAGGGCTTTTAAACTTTAAATTTCTAAACGGATAGCTAGTATATACTTGTAGAACCGATTATTCTAACAATATTAATGTAGTTAATTTTTCAAAATCAAAAATTTTATTAATAATTACTTATACTTATTTCTGGTTTTTCTATTGTGACTCATTACACAGCAATATTGGAATTATTTCAATAAATGCAATAAATAAAATTATTCAATTAATTAATGATTTTTCATTAACGTTATTATTATAACAAAAATTTCACTTCTGAAATTTTCCTCTTCTATTTTTAGTTTTATCATAAAATTTTAGTTTATTTTTGTATAAGTAAAAGAACCTTCAATATTTTTTGGCAATAAACTACACATACGCTTCTTATTATGTACAAATACTTATAATAAAACATTTCGCGTTTATTCTTCCGTAGCAACATTTTAAATAAAGTAAAGCAGGTGATATCAAAACTTTTTTATATTTTGTCTTATATGAATAAATTATAAACACTATAGTTATTAACCAGATTTCGGAAACAAAAGAAAACAAGAAAAAGAGTTCAAAAACCTTAATTTTACATTTTATCATTACCAAAAAATCAACAAAAAGAAAAACAAATGAAATTAAAATTATAATGATAATTTCCACAAAAAAAAAAAAAAAAAATACTCACATTATGTAAGTATAGATATGGTTATGGTAGGTTAAATTCAATAAAACTCAAGTATGTAAACACGAAAGTTCATACATAAGTGTATATGTTTGCGTGTTATGTACTATATAATAAGAAAACTATAAAAACAAATTTTAAAAACAGTTAAACTTAATGATAAACTCGAATTTCATGTAATCAAAACAAGTAAGCCTATAAGTATGTAAATTTTTATATATTTTGTACAAGTAATTATTTTGTGTAAACAACAACCCTTGAAAAGTGTCAACTTTGTAAAGTTCATAAAATTTGATTGTTATGCCTATACTAACATGCATAAGCATTATATTAAATTGGCTTACATACATACATACTATTATTTATATGTACATAAAATTTCATTATTTATTCCTTTCTATATTTACATATTATATGAAATTGTGAAAATTAAAATCATTCCGATTGTTAATTAACGATGTATGATAATAGTGAAATTCAAATATTTTCCTAATAAAATCAGAATATACAACAGCTATATATTTGTACAAATGTTCGATACCTATATATGTATATACATATTTAGCCAGTGTATGGAAAATTCCAAATTATTTAAAATAAGAACGACATCCAGATTGAATTTAGTATTAAAATTTAAAGAGCAAGAAGTTGAACGTGGTTGATTCTTTAATATCGATATAAATTAAAGATTGTGTAGCGTTTAGTTTAGACATGTTAGGTTAATTAAGTAAATTCTATTCAATGTTCATATTTTTTCATAATTTGCTTGCTTTCCCTGGTTCTCGGATTACTTAGGTTATCGATAGGTGTGAATATTAGGTTTATGCAAATAGACTGGAAAGGTGGTCGTTAAATGTCTTTGCAAGCAATTTTTGTATTACATGTGAATGGCAAAACCATGATCAATCAATAGAGTCAAACCGGCTGACGTCGTCAATGATCAAACCCAGCGACCGTCAATGAAAGCAGTTCTCATAGGAATTATACGGGAGATGGGAGTTTATTCAAGGACATAAAGGGTGTCACAATCGATGACAGAGTCGTAATCAAATTTTTTTCTTAAAATTTTAAATTTTTTGAAACTTTTCCTAAAATAATCACATGTATATATATGTTTATATTTTCATTTAATTTGAATAAATTTTTATCGTATATTCCTATGTCATGTACTGGAAGGGGAGTAACCTTTTGCGAAGGTCTGTATATTGACTATATCTATTAAGTATATATTGACTACATACTTGTCGTGACCAGATGCCGCGTATTTTTCCTTCGAAAAATAAGAGTAAGGCGATTGAAAATTTTTCGGCACCATGCTCTGTCAAACAAACCCAGAATTTCCTCAGCATTGGCAACCTTTGTCCTTCTTT